TCCAACTTAAAAAATCATCTTGAACAAATAGCCTGCTTGACTTCTCCTTGAATCAATGACGTATAGCGGTGCCAAATGCATTGAATTTGAATATTCTAAAACTTAATGTCATAAGATAACTTGAACTTGCACAAAACCCCAATCTTGATCATTTGTTGATTTTCACCTACGAAATACCAGACTCTGCCACAACCCGATATCTTGAGAGGATGAAACAAACTACTTGTCTAACTAAAATCAGGTTAAACTCCTCTTGAGTTTCAACCATCACCACACCTATGTGCCATGACAACACAACTGCCTTGAATATGACTCAAAAACCTGTTTGAGACTTCAGACACATGTCACTTGAATCACGCCCCTGATTAGGATCTTGAAACAAAACTTGTCTGACCAAGATTAGGTCAAACATAACTAATCTTCAATTAATACTGCATACACAACTGATACTTGGACTTAGATGAAAGCAACAACATAATTTTGGACTTAGTAGTAGTAGTAGTAGTAGTAATAGTAATAGTAGTAGTAGTAGTAGTAGTAGTAGTAGTAGTAGTAGTTATGGTCAAGGAGGAGGACGAGCATTGAGTAGAGTCTTTAGAGTCGAAGTTCCCTCTTGAATGGGAGAAGGGTCACTTCAACAGAGGTACGGACAATTACATCATCAAGCCTGACTCTCTGAACATTAAGGATCGATTATCTTATGAGAAGATAGTTTAGTTCATCTCTAATTTCACTCCCATTAAATGTGTCAACAAGGATGGGACTTTTATTCTTGATGAGCGCGGGGAGGTTCACTATGAATCTCGATTAATCAATACTAAGGCGTTCCTTGAGTGCGTGTCTGATGAGGAAGCCTTGAGGTTCTTAGGTAGTGGGTGTTTTCTTCACTTGTGTGCCCGCTTGCTTTTCTCGCCATATTAACTTGTTTTCCTTTTCTTCTATTATAGGCTAGATGTCGAGCATCCAAGAGCGAATGTTGAAGCTTGCAGCGACTAAAGGCGTCAAGAAAGCCGCCAAAATCCGCGTCACCCAGGTCCAAGAGATGGTTCAGGATGACCAGCCTTCCGGGGGTTTTTCCTATCCTCGAGGGAGTGAGTCCCTGGTCTCTCAGGACCCTCCATCCAAGAAGCAGTATCTCAAGGAGCCCGACCTCGTCGACCTTCTGGGTGGTATTGTTGGGGAAATATTTGTGTTGCCTCTCTGCCACCTCCAACGAGAGCTCTTCAGCAAGGACAAATCTCTGACCGTGCCCGTGGCAGAGTTTGAAGCAATCCTGGGGGTTGACAAGATGATCAGGAGGAAAGCCCTGTGCGAGGACATGATGACCATGATAAGGATTTTTGACACGGACCTGGTACTTAACGACGAAACCAGAACCTCCTCTAAGCTGAAGAAGCTGCGAGAGGAAAATGCGCTCCTGGAGGCGAAGAAGGACAAGGTGGAAACTGACCTTCTTAACTATCGCTCGAAGTTTGAGGCCCAAGTTCGCCTATTTAAGGATATGAACGCATTGCAGCAACAACTGAAGAAGACTGAGGAGGAGAGGGACTGACTACAGGTCAAAGTTGTTGGTTTGGAGGCCGTTGCTCGCCCTGCCGAGGATGAAAGTGCCGAAGAAAAGCTCTTGGCGATCTGGGGCGACCTAGTTTCCCGAATTTGGTTGCTCGAGCAAGATTTCCTAGGGACCCTTGAGCTGGGCTTTAATATGGCGGTGGAGTAACTTCAAATTGTCAACCTCGGGCTCTAGCTTGTCATCGACGGGATCAGTGCTTTCTACCGGGTGTTCGACGACCGAATAGTTGCCCCTGAAATGTCCGATAGTGGAGCTGACCAGAGCAACGGAGAGCCTCGGCCCGAGGAGGAAGCTGTTATTTGACTCTTTTTAGCTGTTTGGCATGCGCGCCGCATTTTGATTATTATTTTGCCCGACATGCATGTCGGGCCTGCGTGCCATGGGTTTGATATTTCTTGGCCTGCACACCTTGGCTTGTAATGTTTGAACAATGGGCTTTGCCCGTCTCAATGTATGGTGTCTTATTTTTTGGTATGTTTGTATTTTGTGTGTGTTGTTGTATGTCAAATATTTACTTTTCTCGTGAATATGCAATATTGTGCTTGCCTATTGTTACTAAGTAACCAGGGCCTTTGCTCGACGTGGTTGGTCCTCAACCGTACAGAGAACTGGCCGAGTGGTCGGAGTTGGGTTCCGACCGTCGACGAAGCCAAGAGCTCGATCGAGGTCTTTGCTCCGTGGCGTGATCTTCCCATTGGGAGCTGGGCGTTCTGCCTAATTGGTACGACAATGGTGGAGCTCGGTTGAGGTGTTCCCGTGAGATCAAGAGCTCACTCGCACACATAAGAACGGGCTCTTGTCTTTTTGTCTCTAGTTTAGGAGTCACGCTTGTACCATAGTGTGCCCCTGTGTTCGCGACGCACTTCGTCACGGTCAAACCGAGTACGTTGTGGGCAATGTTTAACTGTAATACTGTTTAAGCTTTTCAGCGCTCCATGGTCGAGCAAGTTCTTCACCAAATTGATGTCCATAATACTTTGATTTGGATGAAGAAGTGTACATGTCTCTTCTAAAAGGCATTACACCTTCTTATCCTAACCAAGTGTGCACATTGCTTAAATCCATTTATGGTTTAAAACAATCTAGTAGACAATGGTTTGAGAAATTGTCTAAAGTTCTTTTAGCACATCACTTTACTTAATGTTCCTCTGACCATTCTCTTTTCATACATCAACATCAATCTCAATTACTTTCATACTTATCTATGTCGATGATATTCTTCTTGCAGACAGCAATCTAGATGTCATTAACACAACCAAACAATTATTGCAAAGACATTTTCACATCAAGGACCTTAGCACTCTCAAATACTTTTTAGGCCTTGAAGTAGCAAGAAGCAAATCAGGCATTAACATTAATCAACGCAAGTATACTCTTGATCTTCTTTTCAACACAGGTTTACTTGGCTGCAAACCAGCTTCCACCCCAATGGCCTGTGATACCTGATTAAGGACTAATGATGGTACTCCTATGCTGGATCCCATCAAATATCGCAGACTAGTTGGACAACTCATCTACTTGCTGAATACAAAACCTGATATATCCTACTCCGTGCAACAACTAAGCCAACATAATGATGCTTTCAGTGTGCTCCGGTATCTCAAATCCTCTCCAACTCATAGCCTCTTCTTCCCCTGCAATTCTACCTTACAACTCAAGGCTTTTTCTAACTCCGACTGGGCTACTTGTCCCGAAACACGCAAGTCTATTACTGGTTTCTGCATTTATCTGGGTGATTCCTTGATATCATGAAAATCTAAGAAACAAGCCACTGTTTCTCGCAACTCCACTAAAGCAGAGTACCGCTCCATGGCTTCTACAGTTTATGAATTACAATGGTAAACCAACGTGATCACTGAACTTCCGATACCTTTCAAACATCCTGCACTATTATATTGTGATAATGCCCCAGCCATCCACATTACCAATAATTCTTCATTCCACGAACAAACTAAACACATCGATCTTGATTGCCACATTGTTTGCGAAAAACTTCAGCAACACCTATTCCACCTTCTTTCTGTTACCTCTTCTCAACAATTAACAGATATTTTTACTAAGCCATTAGATGTTTCTCTTTTTCTGTTAAACATTAGTAAGTTTGGTTTACATTTCATATATTCTCAAGCTTATGTGAGGTATTAAATATATAGGTTTATTGGGCTTTTATTTTAGGCTAGATGAGCCTTGCTATTTCATAGTTTATGAGTCTTTGTTTGTTCTCTTGTATATATTTGGTTGATCCGCTCTTCAATGATAAGGTGGAAAAATAAAATTTCATTTTTCTTCTTCTTCCTTAGTTGTCCATGGCTGCTACCAAAAAAAAGAATCATCAATTGTAATAATATATAAGATCTCAATCTCAAATTAATACTCATGACATAAGATGATCTAATCAAACACATTAATATGAATTTATGTGATCACCTTAAACATTTTTTCTATAATACCAATATTTGTGGTTCTACTTATTACTTCCATATTGAAATTAATATAGAGAAAGTACAATTTTTTTGTTTTTGTCTGTCAACAACTAATTATCCAACTATCAGTCAAAACACACGTTCTTCATTCTTAACTACCAGCAAATCCATCTAGCTACCAAGAATGCAAACTACTTCCCCTACTAATGTTGAGGTTTGATAACACACCATCACAAATTTCTACATTCCAATTTCTTTTAAAATTAATTTGTCCACTTATTTCTCGATATTATTTGTAGATGTAAAGGACCAATCACAATTGACCACACATTGAAAATTAACATCAAATAAACATTTTTTTAAAATATATTTTTAAAGTAAAAATAGGATATCATCTGCAAATAATTTTAAAGATTAACTTCTATTTTATTTTGAAAAAATTTAAAAACATACTCAAGTTGAATTCGATGGTTAAGTTGAAAAAATCTCTTACCATATCTCATCTAAGTATTATTGGATTAAATATTTTTTATTTATTAAAATTCAATTAATAATTTTAAGTTGATCACTAACTAATTGAGGGTTTAATAAAAAAGAAATCTAATTAAGGACTAATTTTTCTCATCTAATACACACATACACTATTCACTATATCTATGGACTATGGTTTCATTACACATCTCATCACCTAATTATCTCTTTTGTTGACAAAATTTTCATATATTAACTTGCATAATACTCTTCCCTTGATCCTTCATATTTTAAATGTAATCACTTCCTTAATGTAAGGGATGGGATTGCCATTTACAACGTGGCATTTTAATTGTCACATCTTAACTACAACCATATAAATTAAAGAAAGAAATAAAGTTGATATATATAGTTAAAAAACCATTATCTTTTTTCATAAAGGAAAGGAAAAAAAATTTCTATAGAAATAAAAAAGTGAGAAATAGGTTGCATACACAGCAGTGAGAAAAAAGAAACCAATCACAGAGAGAGTAATGGTGTCTCCAAAAAATATAGGAAAATATAAACTTGGCAGAACCATAGGAGAAGGTACATTCTCTAAGGTTAAGCTTGCTTTCAATGGCAACAATGGTGAGAAGGTAGCAATCAAGGTCATTGACAAGAATATGGTCTTGAAAAACAATCTTAAGTATAAGGTAAGTTCTATTTTGGTCCATGTTTTTTGTTTCCTTTTTTAGCAAAAAAAAGTGATTTTTTACATAAGTTTTTCAATATTAAGACAACAATATATTTCAGGTACAAAGTGAGATTAGAGCAATGAAACTTCTACATCATCCTAATGTTGTTAGAATTCATGAGGTTATTGGTACAAAGACAAATATATACATTGTGATGGAATATGTATCAGGAGGTCGACTGTTGGACAAGATGGTGGGGGTCATCAATCTTTTGTCGTTCAAATGTTATGTACTTATAATTACAATTATGATGCTTCAATTCTGATGATTTTGTTTATGCAGTCCTATGTTGTTAAGTTGAATGAATGTGAGGCAAGAAAACTATTCCAGCAACTTGTTGATGCTGTCGATTACTGTCATAATAAGGGAGTTTTTCATCGCGATTTAAAGGTTAGTTAAACAAACTTTTGTAATTTGTTGTTTAGAAATAAGATTTGAAACCTTAGTTGAACCTTTATGTATGGCAATACAGCCGGAAAACTTGCTCCTTGACAACCAGGGAAATCTCAAAGTGTCTGATTTTGGATTAAGTGCATTGAGTAAGGTAATTTTTTTTTTTTTAACCTCAGAGTTAGTTCAACAGTAGCAAGCTTTTTTATAAGTGATCAAATTTTGATATATTGGCATTTCGCAGCCTAATGATGTCTTAAACACAAGGTGTGGATCGCCGTGCTATGTGGCTCCTGAGGTAAAATTGAGTGTCCAGAACTGTTGGCGAGTTCGAGAGAGCACTTGAGAGCAAAAACGTGCTAAAGAACTCCCTTGGACTCCCCGACAGAAAGAGAGCTAGTGTCTGCTTTTATAAGATACATGTTTTATTGATTATAAGACTCTTATAATCACTCTTTTACTTCCTTATGTGTAGCTGCTGATGAGCAAAGGGTATGATGGAGCAGCTGCTGATGTTTGGTCATGTGGTGTGATTCTTTTTGAGTTACTTGCTGGTTTTCTACCATTTGATGACCAAAACTTGACGAGCTTATACCATAAGGTATATATTAGCAAATACGGTAATAAAGAAGAAAACACCTAGTATCTGATTCAACTAATTCACATATTTTGGCAATTTTCATGTGAGAAAATATAGATATGCAGAGCAGAATATGTATGCCCCCCATGGTTTACTCAAAGTCAAAAGAAATTAATCACCAAAATATTCCAACCGCGTCCTGAAAAGGTAGAAATTCAAGAACTAGGGCACTGTGCTTAGACTCAAAGTGCGACTGATAGATACTAATTTGTTTGACTGACTTCCTTTCTATCACTTGCAGCGGATAAACATTTCAGATATTATTGAAAACGAATGGTTTCAAATAGATTACAAACCTTCTTGTGCGTATGAAATTGATCCGAATACTAACTTGGATGACAAAAGTGATGCTTTCGACCCAATTGAGGTAATAAGTTAACTAATACCAGAAATGGATAAAAACAACAATTGGAGTTATGGACCAAATTTTCTAACAATATGTTGTATAGGAGAAAACTACGAATTCAACGATAACCAAATCGTCGAGCTTCATTAATGCGTTTCAACTGATAGCCATGTTTCAGGACCTTGATCTATCTGCACTTTTTGAAGAACAGGCAACTCTACAAATCTTAGAGGGTATTTAACTTATCTACAAGGTACTTTAATTACAAATGCTAACGTTATGAGTTTTGTGTTTAGGATCACAAGAAACAGATGACAATGTTTGGATCCCAACATACAATCAGTGAAACGGTAGAAAAAATAGAAGCTGCTGCAACAGATGTGAGACTGTCGGTGGAGAAAATGAACAATTTTAAGGTATGAATAATGCTTCCAATTTGATTGTTAATTGCATCCATGTAATAAATTTTGGAGGGAATTGTGAAATATTAACCTTTTCTAGAATCTCGCAACAAATGAACTTTGACTCTTAATATCAGATGAAAATGCACCCAAAACAGACATTGACTAGAAGCTCTAGATCATGCTTTGACCTATCTGCTGAGGTGATAATACTCACTTTATCATCACATACACTCCATTTTTTCCTTTTCGTTTTCTTTATTAGTAACACAAGTTCATTTCTTTACTGATATGTATGAAACCTGTCAGGTGATAGAAGTTGCTCCAGCTCATTGTGTTGTACAAATATCAAAATCTGCAGGAGATCTAAGAAAATACAATGAAGTAAGAAAAAAAAAATTATGTTAGCTTAATATTCGATAGCTCAAGCTTGTTAATTTGGTTACTGATTTAATTTTGATTATCAGTTTTGTGAAAGTTTATCAAGTCTGCTGAAAGAAAAATCTAGTATTCCATCACATGACCAAGACTCTGAGGATCAATGCAAAGTTAGCAGCATAAAAAAGAAAAATGATGAATGGTATAATAAACCTAATTTAACCTAATTTAGGTTACTAGATGTTGATGGTATTGGTTTGATAGCCACCGTTTTCTTATTAGTGGTTTTCATTTGTCTATTTCAGCTATGCAAAGCCAAACAGAGAAGATTTTCGTGGCTATAACTCTGCTTGAAGATTGATTTAAACGACGTCTCTACTATTTATTGAAGTTCATGCGAATATGACATGGCAAGGAGAGAACAAAGTATTTTCTCAAAGCTTGTTTTTTTTTTTTTAACTCAAGCATCTCTTATTTTCTATCTTCTTGAGAGAATCAAATTTCTTGTTAATTCATTTTTTCTTCATTGTAATAAAAAGAAACGTAATTTTGTGATAATTGAAATTTGAATTGATTTAATAAGCAAAAATGCTGTAAAAACATAGGGATGAATCTAGAAGCAAAGAATGATATAGTGAAAAATATGTAAATCACAAACATCAACTGCAAAATCATGTCAACTTCAAAGCAGCAAAGCATTACTGTAATATTAAATTCAGCTAACAGTAGGGTAAAATGTATAAACAATCTTACAATCCAGCAGTGAAGAAATACCTTACAATCATATCATTTTCTTGGAGTATATTAAATAGATAAAGCTTAAGCTTAAGTTTAAAACATTTTCCAAGACTACTTTTTCTCCATCTAAAGACTGTTACAAAATTATCTTAAAGGATTTCTGTAGGAACATAAACAATAATCAACCCAGAATGGTGAAGACACATTTTGTCCTATTCAAGAAACAATTTACCAAATATATCATTTGTTATAAGGTTAAATTCCGTCCATGGAGTTTTAAGCAAGCTGCCTGGATCTACGGCAAGCATCTTTTCACATAGAGTAAAGACAGATTGCAATTTAAACACCTTTTCGATATAAAACTCAATCACGTGAATATATGAACAAGTTACTAGGAATGAGCACTAATGTAAATGAAGATGCACACCAATGAAGTTATCAGCTTTCAAAACTGATGCATAACAAAAAAAAGCACATGTTGGAATTTTGCAATACTAGATATTCAGGGTAGAAGAAGACTACCATTCCTTACAACATTGATTTGATGACTCTGAACTCAGCAATAATTCTAGAGACTAGATAAGGAAGTTATCTATCATGTGGAAGATCACATCGGCACCATCTGAATGCAACCAATAGATTTTCACCTAAGAGTAAAAACAGACAAATAAAAATATCAAGGAGCATCGAGCTGAAGCTGTGACCATTATTTTTAACAATTTAGCTTAAAATAAGTACATCATCTTCAAATAATATCTCGTATGACAATTCATTTTGTATAGAAAATCCCCTTCATCTAGAGCTGGAGTTCTAAAGTAGTTGAAATAAAGATAAAAACTTTACCTGGATTGTACTGTGAGCAACATACCGTTGCTTACTCTTCTGAAAGCTAACATCCACACGCTCCCAAGGAACCTGAGTGAGACCCCTTATCATCTCCTCTACAAAAAGCGTATGTATTCAGTTTTGGAAAGCTGGTTCCAACCGACACATAAATATTTTGAAAATTAAATAATTTCAAAATTCTTCAACAAAATAATATCGTAGACTAGGATATATTACAACATAAAATTGTATGCTAGGCTGACTTGTAAGATTCATCCAGACAATAATAATCCGAGTAGATAACTAATTATCGATATGAATTTTGTTTACAAAATATCTCTTTTCTATAGAAAAACATCTTTATAACACATTCTCTATGCTTACTGATAAAATATTATAGCATAGCATGTCTTTAAAAATAGACAAGCACTTTGAGTGTTGTAAGTTTTTTAGAAACATATAATATAAAGGTGCAAAAGATTCTAAACATGAAGATTAAAGTCAAAAAGAGGAAAGGAGATTGTTCTATACTTCATTTTTCCTTATATTATCTGAATGTTCTAGGACTATACACTACTAATAATCCTACAAAAAATGCACGGCAATCCTCGAAATAAAAATAAAGACGAAAATTTATCGTCCTAAGTATACTATTTCACCATACTCCTTTCACAAAAACCAAAAGATACAACATTTTTTCTTCTTCAGGAAAACGAAACAAACCTTCTGTGTCAATTGTTTGGTCTCTAGCAATAGTAGATACTTTGGCGGAAACATCATCAACAGTCCCAACTTTGGCTTGTACAATGTGTGGGTATTTCTCATCAATTAATTGAAGATCAAACTAGCACAGAAGAAGAATGTAAATCTAGTCTCTATAATCCATGTAAAACATTATAATTGAGAGTCATCAGAAAGTCTATTACTGTTGGAAGTTCATGCTGACGCCGAATCGATGAAGTGCGCCATCCAACCATATCTTCAATGCAGGTCAAGAAATTTGCAAGATATAATAATTATTGCTCTAGTATGTTAAAGTTAGATCTACATTATTGTAACAATACATGGTTTCAAGAAAATAATTAGCCCATGTGGCTGAGAAGCATGGACATGGAGGCAGTGGCAAAGCTCAAGTGATTTTGTTGGGGTGACAAAGAGCCATAGAATATAGAACTATTTCAATTAATTGTTACAAACCATTAACTGGTGCAGTGGTTAAATTTTGCTTGAATTCACAACCTCAGATTTGCAAAATCTTCCACCTCCCACTGCAGTGCTTAACAACCATAGTCATTCTACGAAATGAAACATATATGTACATTCGTTACTATTATAATGTGTACATCTATCCTATTAAGAAGAAAATTTTGGGGTGGGCATCCCCAAGAAGATCCACCTCTGCCTGCAGGACAGTAAATAAATTCTAATTTATATCATAGTAAACCCTAGTTATAATAATTTCAATATCATGTCTTCGTCTAAGTTCCACTTAATACACATGAAAGTTGCATGTTCTAACATTTGACATGGGCCATTGACACTATATTATCCATTTGGCTTAAGATTCTGAACAATTTGAAGTTTGATAAAGAAAAAGAAATATAACTCAGAACGAGGATACGATCAAAGTTTGCATTTGCATATGCTACTCGGCGCTTGAATGCACGCAGAGCTGACCTGCACAATCATTAAAAAATAAATTGAAATAATGAAGAATTGAATGGTGGCATAATCTAACAAACTTAAATGACTTGGTAATACTAACATAAATTTTAAGTCATCAGAATTCTCAACCATTCGGAGGAGAAGAGGAGGCTTTCCATCATCATTGTCCATAAGGAAAAGATGCTTTCCAGTTCGCCCTACAATTAAGTGTGCAGTTTGAGATGCTCTTCTTTCAAGGAAAGCAAGGCCACAAAGAAATGGAAGCTACAAGAACCGGAAAAATTAGGAGCAAAAATAAGAGTGCGTGTTCCGGTATTCACCAACAACAAAACAAATTTAGAACTTTTTTTCTAAAGTTAATATATACCAGAATATTAATGACTAATCTTCAGATCAAATAACATTATGTGGTTTTTGAGAAGGATAATGCTCCATTACATGAAAACCAGTTTGTAACTATCATATCAAAGTTCAATTGCAAAGGAACTTATTCACTTTTTATCTTTCTTGTACTTCTTTCTAACCCTATGATATCTGGTTTTCTCTTCTCTCCCTAATAACTTTACTCTCTAAGAACTCACTAATGATTTCATTGATGCCAGTGTGTTCGCACTGACATGCCTCTTGTATGCAATTTTTAGCTAACAGCGTTCAAAAGCTAAAAGATTTGAACTCAAGTTGGACTGTGACAGATAGACAAATTAACCAATAAAAAAAAAAAAGCAAAGATGATTTTGATGGAATTCAGCGAAAGAAAATAACAACAATAAGAACAAATAGCAGATGACTAATGAAAGTCAAAAGAAAATTAGGCATAAGATATCTCCATGATGTTGAACCAAGATGTAGAACTTAAATATACCTGTTTGTGTCCTCTTGAACCAAGATGTGGTGTTGCAAAGGTTATAAAGTTCATTGGCTTTAAACCAGCGATTCGGGCTTCATAATTCTGTTCAATGCAATTCTTTGTACATTCTGTCTCCTCTTTGCAGTTGCAGATAGTAACTTCGGATTCTAATGTTGAAGAGTATTCAAAAAGTCTCGCAATAGCATATCTTGCTACCAAGCCTCCCAAAGAATGTGCAACAAAGGAGATCTTCTGCAACCCTGGCCAGCGACTAGCGACAGATAGTACCTATATAAACATTAATTAAGTTTAAAACTGTAGATTCAATCATTCCAATGTGAATGAATTATCACAAGGTCAACATCATAAATCATTTCCCAAAGTAATTTAAAGTTCAGGGAAGTACGAGAGACTATAAAGATCAAATTGCTACTACCAAAATACCTCTTCAGCTAGCCTCTCGCCCATTGTATCAACACCATCAAACGTCAATTTTGAAGAATTGCATTCACTGCCTGTTCACAATATATCATGTAAGATCACAGTGATTATGTTCTTTTATAAATTCACAATACAGTCTAAAATTAATGACGAAGCTGACCTCACGCCATCCGATTTAGCTCTAAGGTTTACTTAAAAATTGAGTTTGTTATTTTTATCAGCCTCTTATTGGGACTAACAAAGAAATAGGTTTAACTATCTCTAGTTCTGCTGATTAGGATTTATTATGTTAATTAGGATTTATTATTTTATTTATTTTAGTAAGTTAGTATTTAGAATTTTTAAATTTAAATTTCATCTACCTAGTAACTAGGATTGTTATCATTTAAATTTAAATGATAGAAATTTAAGGGAAAAGTAGTTATTGACCTAACTTAATTAGGGTTCTTATTCAACTATAAGCCTATTTAAGGGCATTGAGATGATCAATAAAATTCATCAATAATTATTATCATAAAAGTATTTGTGAATTTAAGAAGAGGCTTTGTCAAGGACGAGCCCGCTTCTACCTTCACCAAAAGTCGAAGCAAAGCTTCTACCGCGTCTAGGACTGTCTTAACACAATCCAAAACAAAGCCACATAACATATATTCCATTTGGCAGCTGAAATGAGAAATAATGCTCATGCCTCCAAATTACTTCGTCGAGAACAACCTCTGTACAATAAAACAGGGGAAGATGAAACCCCAGCTTTTGCAGATGATGAAGAGGATCTTCGTTAATCCTTAGAGAAAGCAAGGCGACTAGCTCTTAAGAAACAGGAGGAGAAAGGATCATCTGGCCCTCAAGCAATTGCTTTACTTGTCGCCTCAAATCCTATGAGACTGTTAGATGATCAAAATTCTATAGCTGGAGAGTCAAGAGAAAATAAGGTGGTCTTTACAGAGATGGAAGAATTTGTCTGGGGTCTTCACATTAATGAGGAAAAGAAAGATGAGGCTGGTGGGTGGACTGAAGTCAAAGAAACTGAAAAAGGCGAGCAACCCAACTCAGAAGACAAGGAAGTGATAATTCCTGATGAAAGTATACATGAAGTTGATGTAGGGAAAGGACTGTCAGGTGCATTGAAACTGCTTAAAGATCGAGGAACACTTAAAGAAAGCATTGGATGGGGTGGCAGAGACATGGATAGGAAGAATAGCAAATTGGTTGGGGTTGTAGAGGATGAAGGAAAGATAGTACAGAATAAAAAAGAGGTTCACATTGAGAGGACAGACGAGTTTGGGAGAATTTTGACTCCTAAGGAAGCCTTTAGAATATTTTCTCATAAGTTCCATGGCAAAGAACCTGGCAAAATGAAGCAGGAAAAGCGTATGAAATTGAAATTGAAGCAAATGAAAAGTTCATATACCATGTTAAACCAGAGTTGAGCACTTTCTGGGAATCAAGAGGGAAGCTGATCAATCAAGCTCGGATACCCCAAAAAAGACGAAATCTTGATTCCTCGGTCTTGTAAAGAAAAACATTTCAAGCTAAAATCCATACAAGGTTGCAAATTGATTTGGAAATTTAATGACATGAGGGTTGAGAAATCCATAGAACTAGAGGTCCAGATCACACTTTTAATCTCCATACCACCAAAATTAACTTTTAGTCCCCATTTATATAACTGGTTTTTGATCTTTATTATTTGTTTACTATCTTGTGTATGTTTTTGATACTTCAGTGATGTGACAAAACTATTTAACCTTCTTAAGCCACTGGCCTCCTCCAACACTTTGTCGTCAATCTTCTCTCAGCTCGGAGATCTCATGGTAGTTGAGCATGAGAAGCTCATTTCTGCAAAGGCGACACAGTTCCCACCTCGAAAACCAAGACTCCGTCGTGTCATCTAATAATTATCGATCGTGCAACATTATAATAAACAGCAGGTGTTTTAGTGTGTGTTTACACACAGAAAAAGAATTTTAGCACGTGTCTCGTTCTACATTGAAGAAAATTGATTGAGTGAATTAACTCTACAAAATTGATTCCGACTAAAAATGAGTTGAAGGTAAAATAATTTATGTTTGAATAAATATAAGTTGCTGCAAAATGAGTTGGATGTTTAGATTCAAAACCTACCAATTCTTACTTCAAGTAGAACCAATTCTAAAAAGCATAATCAATTATATTTGATTGCAGCCAAACATGTTAAAATCAATTTTACACGTCCATCCAGATTCAATTCTAGATGCTTCAAATGTGAAGTCAATTCTACACGTCCATCCAGATTCAATTCTACACTTGCGATTAAAGTAATGAAAGGAATAAGGAAGAGTTAGTTACGGTGGACGATGACTTTATCCGGAAGCTTCTCGAGAAACTGCTCCGCGGCAAACCTCCAATCAGCAGAACTGAAAACACCAATTGCATTTGAATACTCAAATTCATAATCTAACAACATAATTTAAATTTTCTGATACGAAATGCAAATTGAAACTGAAGATTACTCTCCTACCTTCCAACGATGCCATTAACCATGATTACAAGGTGCGGAGGAACCTCAAGAGGCTTAGCATCAACGTCAATCTCCGCCTTGGAATTCGGTTTGGGATTCTTGAAACAAGTAATTCCGATTCTGAATCGGCGATGAAATTTCATCTTGATGATCCAAAAACCGACGAGAATCGATCCGAATAACGGTGGCGTAAGGTTGAATTTGAAGTGAACAATCGCGATAACGATTGCGAAGCACAAAGCGTAAAGTAGAAACGAATTCATTCGTTCAGTTATTATCGTTTCTTCTTTTTTAGTTATAAAAATGGTCAGTTTCACCAACTCAAGATTTCTTTGGTCTGTAGTACATCAATTATTATTATGCTTTTAAAATAAATACATAAATTACTACTTGTTTTTAAAGCTATCACACATATAAGGAAAAAGAAAGATGCTTCCAAGAAATGCAGTTTTCATGTCCTTCTCGGGAATCATGCTTTTGAATACTCAAATCTAGCTGAAATCCTTTTTGGCACATGAGAGCTTTGATATCAACACGATAATTCTGCTTTTGAAAACTTTAATTTAGTATTATAATATATATTTTGAAAATATATTATACATAGCTAACCGGTACAGATACAGAATAAAAACCTATGGATAGTATTATATACACATATTCAAAATAAAGTATGGCACATGATATTTAAGAGTGGATAGAATATCCACATGATCGATAACGGAAGATCATAATCAAAAAGTCGAGTAGTCAAACATCACCAAGCAAGTTTGTCCTTGTCATTTATGTGAATAGAACTACTTGAAAAACAACAATAATAGTAGGATGAGATGATAATCTCAGTGAATTCCCCTAACTTATGGGTCCAGTCGATTTTAAAGGGGTCTCTTATTGATTTCTTACTTAAGCCTTTCCACTTTACGTTACTTGTGTATTATTTACATAAATGTAACAAAGACTTAAGCCTTCAGGGAATTATACGATTTGTATGGAAACACACAACATGACTTCACATAACTCAATGAATAACTATTCGAGAATGCAAACTACAAAGTATCTTTCCCTGACCGATCCTATGCCTAGGACTATGGACACATGCCACAAATCTCTGCAACCTCAGACAACTTTCTCTGGCCGATCCAAATCCATGGACCATGGACACAAGTCACAATTGTCCGCTCAATAAGGAATGTCTTCTCCCCGGCTGATCCCAACCAAGGACTACGAACACGAGTCACAAGCTTTCTATAACTGAAATACTTCTCCTCGGCCGATCCAAATTCATGGACTATGGACACGAGTCACGATATCCAATCTCAATGATTCGTCTATCCTAATCCCTGCTTTATATAAGGCTTGGATTCGAGACAAGCACGAATAAGGATTATTCCAAAATACGCGATTATTCTCATCAATCTCCATGTGATTATATCACTACCATTATGAGTTTACACACACAATTTCTATGTGATTATATCACAATCACAATATACCATAATATGTTTTCATATAAGCTCATTGATCGCAAATATGATATCGCTCTCTATCCATGCCTTCGGCATTCTCGTAGATGAGACGACTCACCTCATGTGACTACTCGCTCACAGGTACACACCCGGTACCTCTTACATTCTAGTATCATAACTTAAGTTACTTACCATAACCTAAGTTATTTTGGCTAACTTCATTCACCTAGATATAACTCTAGGTTTACTCTCACTCATAATCATGAAACATGCTCCATTCATTATTCATTCAATACATACATATCATAGTATGGTACATGAAGCACACATAATAGTTCATTATCATTATTCAAGTAATAATTGGAACACTAGCATAGTTTCTCTTTACTAAAACGTAGAGCATTGGACTAGCTTTCCAACGTACCCAAACTCACATCAAACGGAGTTATGAATCCCATTTTATAGTGGAAACATGGAAACAAGTAATTTCCTAAAGTCTCAGAACTTTCGTCTAGCGAGCCTTAGCGATACGTCAAAGCGAGCTCCCAGTGATGCTCATGCGAGGTCAATCAAAATGTCATTTTTCTCAAAATTCGATGTCTCTCTTAGCAAAACATATCTTTGCCTAGTGAGTATAACAAAATAACTTTTGCACTGTGAACCGATATGCTTGCCTAGAGATTTGCTCTTTCGCTTAGTGAGAATTACATATTTCAGCTAGCGAAGAAACGTAAAAGGGAGGGAAATAATCCACGCACATAATCATGTATCACCATGTTGCATCCAATAACACCAAATGTCATGGTTTGACACAAATAGGCATACAAAACAACAAGATGATCATGCATCAACATCAATTTCACACACATAGCAAAAATTCATAAAACCTAAATCTCATTTCATGAATCCCCCCTGTAACGCCCCGATTCTGATTTCTAATTTTGTTGAGTCTTTTGATTTATTTGGGTGATTAATATTTTAATTGTGAAATTGATGTGTTAATATGTTATGTTTGCATATTATACTATTTTACCGATTTTGAGAGTTTTCGGGGAAAATAGATTGGAGGGTATTTTAGACATTTCTTATTTAATGATAAGATGAGATATTTTGTGAGAAAATGGATTAGTAGATGTTTGGAGAGAAATAGAATAGAAAGAGATATAAGTGGAATAGAGGAAAGAAAAAAAAGGGCAGAAATAGAAAGAAGAGAAAAGGAAGAGAAAGAAAGAAGAGAGAAGAGGAGAAATAGAGGAAAAACTTGGATAGCTCAAGATCAACATCTAGGATTCGACTTAATCGGGTAAGGGTGTGAAATCTTATTATCTTCTCAATGTGTATGATTATGTATGCTTTTGTTGGATTGATGTGGATTGTTGGAGAGTTTTTACTCATTTTCCATTTTTAGGTCGAAATGGTTTAATCGATAGAAACCGATGTTATAACGGTTAAAATCTAGAATAATGGTGTAGTTTAGTCGAGGAATGTTAGGCTAAGACTATGGAAACTTGTTGGAATTGAATCGGGTGATTTTTGGACCTTGTGACATTTTCGGACAGTAGAGGTTTTTGAGAGATCGCAGAGGTTCGCTAAGCGAGCAGCCAGCGAGCGAGCTAGCGAATGGTTCGCTAGGCGAGCTGTTAGTGAGCGAGTAGCGAATGGTCCCAGACTTGGACAGAACTAAAATGACCCTTGTTCGCTGGAGCGAGTGAGGTAGCGAGTGTTCGCTAAGCCTTCGCGAAGCGAGTTGGGTAGCGAACACTTCCAGTAGCAAAAAGGCAGGCTTCGCTAGCACGTTCGCTAGGCGAGCCAGTAGCGAATGATCGCTAGGCGAGTGAGTCAGCGAGCATGACATCATTGTTTATTTCCTGTTGTTCCCATCCGATGTTGATACTTTGATTTTTCAACGCATAACTTGTGTGATGTATTATGATATGCTGTGGGTAGCCGTATGGCGTGAATCCTAGATTGTGGAATCAATGGTGAAATGTGGCCTTGTTGGCAAATATATGCATTGTTTAAATTGATTAAAAGTGCATGATGATTGTAGTGGAGTTCGTTGCCGTTTGACGCGATATTGTGAATGACGGTGAGAAAATACTTAGAAGGGGGGGGTTGAATAAGTATGACAGAAAATAATCAAAGATAAAAACACAAGTATTTTTATCCTGGTTCGTTGAACTCAACTACTCCAGTCCACCCTTTTCAAGAGTGATTTGCCTTTCTCAACAAGGACTTAATCCACTATTCAAATCAACTGATTACAAATAGCAACACCTAAGAACAACTGTTCTTAGTCTTCTTAAGAGCTACTGATCTAACCTAGATCCTCTTAAGGAAAACTTCCTTTACAAATTAATGTAATACAAAGTAAGAGTAAGAAATGCTTCTATGAAAGCTATAAACACAACTGTGTTATTTCTCTAAGTTTAGAACAATGTATGAACAGTGAAGAATATGAGAGCTTGTGAGTTTTTCGCGTCAGAGAAGATTTTCAATATTCGTCACTTGAAGAATGAGCTATGATATCCTTTATATAGCCACTTGAATATTGGAGAGAATATTTTACCGTTGGAGAAGATATTTCCAATATCAAAATAGTATTGTCCTTTGTACTATTGCAGCAGAGAGACGGCGCACAAAATGTGGGTGTAGCAATTGTCTGCTGAGCTGTGATTATACCATATATGGAATGTACCAGAGGAATAATATTCTTGCAGAGAATTTTGTCTATCCCAATTAAGGAAAGATTTGCTGGCATATTCCAACGGATATATTAAAATAATCTTCTTCAAATAATTCTTCAGATAGTTCAGATCAACAATCAATATCAGAGTCTTCAGTCTTCAGAACCTTCTGGAAACTTCAGAGCCTAATATGTTCTTCAGATGTTGATGAATCAGAGTCTGGTGCAGCTGTGTGCTTGAAGCGTAACATGCTCTTAGATCAGAGTCTTCACTCAGATCAGAGTCTTCTCTCATTTAGAGTCTCTTCACTCAGAGTCTTCTCTCATTCAGAGTCTCTTCACTCAGAGTCTTCTTTCATTCAGATTCTTGATAATATATGCAGCGTGTTGTATCTTCAGAATCTTGATGACTAAGCTCTTATACTTCAGATTCTTCTAATCTTCAGACGCTCTTGAGCCATTCAGAATTCATTGTTCACTTCAAATTTGCTCTTTAAGATTAAAATCTTTTGTGCCTGTAGAAAACAGTTTAGAACAAATTTAGAGAGTATAATTCTTGTATACAAATTATCATTAATGTTATCATCAAAACATAGAGGTATTACTAAGACACAATCTGTGCTCTTACAATCTCCCCCTTTTTGATGATGACAAAACATGAGCAATTTGTTCAATAAAAAAGAATTAAAAATTACTCCCCCTGAGATTAACAATCTCCCCCTGAAATGAATACTCTAATGGAATTAGATACTTCCCTTTCTGGTTGAGTACATTTCAGATTCAGAGCCTGATTACATTTCAGATTCAGAGTCTGATTGAAGCCTGGTTGACAAATCCTGGTTGACATATGTTTGACTTCTAGAGTCAAAGCTTGATGCCAAAGCTTGATGCCATATTAAAGCTAGATGCCAGATGAACAACTTCAGAACACCTGGTTGTTTATCTTGCCATTTCCTGTCTTGAGTTATCTTTTAGATCATATTACTCAAGGTTAAATATCAGAGTCTGGTCTTTAGATATCAGAGTCTGGTTTACTCAGATTTAGCTATTTTTGATCAGGTTCTGAAAAGATAGATCTCAGGAAAAACTTCAATGAAATTTTGTCAGAGTCTGG